CCGTCGCCCGTCGTTGTCGCCGTCGCCGTCGCCGATGCACGGGGGGGGGGGGGGGGGCCGTCGTCGTCGTCCGTCGTCGTCGGGACGTCGCCGTCGCCGTCGCCGTCGCCGTCGCCGTGCCGCCGCCGCCGCCGCCGCCGCCGTCGCCGCCGCCGTCGCCGTCGCCGTCGCCGTCGCCGTCGTCGTCGTCGTCGCTGCCGCCGTCGTAGCCGCGGTCGCCGTCGCCGTTCCCGTCGCCGTCGCCGTCGCCGCCGCCGCCGTCGCCGTCGCCGTCGTCGTCGCCGTCGTCGTCGTAGTCGACGCCGTCGCTGTTGTCGTCGGCGTCGTCGCCGTCGCCGTCGCCGTCGCCGTTGCCGTCGCCGTCGTCGTCGTCGTCGTCGTCGTCGTCGTCGTCGTCGTCGTCGTCGTCGTCGCCGTCGCCGTCGCCGTCGCCGTCGCCGTCGCCGTCGCCGTCGCCGTCGCCGTCGCCGCCGTCGCCGTCGCCGTCGCCGTCGCCGTCGCCGTCGCCGTCGCCGTCGCCGTCGCCGTCGCCGTCGTCGTCGCCGTCGCCGTCGTCGTCGTCGTTCCCGGTGGTTCTCCAGTCTCGAGATGCGCTCCAGCAGCTAAGCTGCCCACGCTGACAGCATTCTGCGGGTGCCTGGCGTCCCGAACGGTCGCCAGAGAGCAAACAGTTTTGGCGCAGGAGCCCCGCAGGGTCGCCGGAGAGCTGAGCAGAGGTGACGCTCTTCCTGCCTCCCTCGGCATCCGTTCTTTCGCTGAGGAGCCCCGAGCCAAGTGAGTGGTTGCTGACGCCGCCTTCGGCCGTCGTCGCTGCGCCCGCTCGTCTGCCGACCTCGCCCTCTCCGTCGGCGTGCGTCGTTCCCGCCGTGTCGGTGGCTGCTGCTCTTCTCTTTGCTGCAGGGCCTCGCGCCCTCTGTTGGCGCACGCGAGGCCGACCGAGGACCCTTGAAGCCATGAGTCCCGCCTCTCTCGCTCCTCTGTTTCCTCGTTGTCCTCCCTCGCCTCCTCCCCTCGCCTCCTCCCTCGCTCCTGTTTTTCCTCGCCTCCTCCCTCGCCTCTCTCGCTCCTCTTTTTCCTCGTTGTCCTCCCTCGCCTCCTCCCCTCCCGTTCCGGCAACCTCTGGAACTTCCAGAAACGTCCAGAAGCGTCCGGATGGCAGAGAAGCTTGGACAACCGTCGACAATTTCTTCCTTCCCTCACTTCCTGCCTTTCTCCTCTCCCTCCCCCTTCCCTCCCCCCCACCCTCCTCAGCCGCCGTGAGAAACCTCCAGAAGGTCTTCTGGGGGAGCCTGTGCCAGCAATCGCGAATGCTTGAAAACCACAGTCAACCTTTCCCTTCCTCCCTTCTCTCTTCTTGCCTCGTCCCTTCTACTTCCTCCCTGTTCTCTCCTCCCTCGCTCCCTTCTCGCTTTCCTCCCTTGCCTGCCCCCCTACACCCTCCTCCTTTCCCCCGTCCTCCCTCGCTCCTTCCCTTGGCTCCCTTGCCTCCTCCCCTCCACCCTCCTCCCACTCACTTCCTCCCCGCTCCAGCCCGTCTTCCCTCCTCCCTTCTCTCTCCTCTCACCCCTCCTCCCTTTTCCCCTCTTCTACCGTCCCTGCCCTACCTCCCCACCTTCTCCCTCCTCCCTCCCCCTCCCTCCCTCACCTTCCCTCCCTCCCCTCCCCCCCCTCCGCTCCCCCTGCCTCGCCCCCCTCCTTCGCCACCCTCCCTCCCTCCTCTCCTCTGCCCCACCCCTCCCGCTTTCTCTTCTCCCCAGCTGCTCCCCCCCGGGCTCGCGAGCGCGCCGGCTGGAGAGCGTTCACGCGCGCGCGCCCCGCGCTCTCAGGTACAGGTACCTGTGGGACAAGATCGACACTGAGGACGACGGGGAGGGCGAGGGTAGGAGGAGGAGGAGGAGGAGGAGGAGGAGGAGGAGGAGGAGGAGGAGGAGGAGGAGGAGGAGGAGGAGGAGGAGGAGGAGGGGGAGGAGGGGGAGGAGGAGGGGGAGGAGGAGGAGGAGGAGGAGGAGGAGGAGGAGGAGCGTTCTAAACCCAGGATGTATCAACGACGCAGTATTTGACCCTCCCGTCACAAGTGCCCGACCTAGACGTCCTTACATGACTTCCTCTTCACAGCGGGACGAAAGGCGAGCGCCCGACAGGCCTGCCACTCAGGGGAGAGCCCCTTTTTGGAAAGGAACTGCCATGAGGAACTCGGTAGGACTAGAACGTTTGCGTAAGGATATGACAACTGAGAGCCCCGTTTTGAAAAGAGGACGCCCAGCGTCCGTGCAAGTTTTACACGTGGTCACATGCCGGATCGTAAGTTGTGAGGAAGTGCCCGAACAGGGCCCCACTGTGCAACAGAGCTGCCCTCCATCCTCGTATCTGTTTTGCACATTTTGATGCTTCGCGTGGTAAGCAATGAGGGAGTCTAGAGCGGGAGCCCCAATTTGAGAAGGAACCGCCTTCCCTCCATGGGAGTGATGGACGCTCTGAAGACGAGGGTGTGCGGCGCTGAGGCCAGACATCCGTGCGACTGTTGGAAGCTCGTGAGAAGGATTTTCGCAGCGCTACGGCCAGATCCACATTGTGAGAGCGCCACTCGCCCTCCATCCTTGTGTCATTTTTGAATGTGTCAGGCGATCGTGCGTGGCGCTCAGGCGAAAGCGACATTTCGAACACAACCCGCCCTCCATCCATGTAGCTGCTGGGCATTCTCCGGTTCGGATGGTGGGGAGACCTCAGCCGCAACGCCCAGACCGCCCTACCAACACGTCCAGTGGTGCGGCGGGGAGGAGGAATAGTTTCAGGCGGAGAAGGAGGCCGAGGGAGTTGGGGAGCACATGCAGCGGTCTTTGCTCGCGCAGCCTGCCATCCCCTCCCCTCCTGGCACGCGCTCCAGCTGGGCCTGTTGGCAGGCCGCGAGCTCTTGGCTGGGAGGAGTGCCTCACCGTCGGAGTCCTCCCTGGCCTGGCGGTGCCCGGACCTCTCCTGCCGCCCGCGAGCGCCGCCCCACAGCGCAGCCCCGAGCCGTGTCTCGGAGCCCGCGCGCGGCCCACCGCTGCGAGGGCGGAGCGGCCGATCGCCCCAGGCCGCGGCGCATGGCCAGCGCCGCGGCGCCGCCGGCGCCGCCGCCCCCGAGCCTGGACGCGGAGGCGGGCGGGCCGGGGGCGCCGCGCTTCCCCTGGCCGCCGCCGCGCTTCCTGGGGCCGCGCGAGGCGCCGCAGCTGCCGGTGGCGCTGGCCGCGTACCCGCGCTGCGGCACGGCGGCTCTGCGCGGCGCGCTGGAGGCGCTGCTGGGCGTGTGCACCGGGAGCGACACGGGTCCGCAGAAGTTCCTGGGCGCCCAGCTCCGCAAGCTCGGGCTGGCCGGGGAGGGGGTGGTGGACGGCTCCGCGCTCTGCCCGGGGAAGGGAGGGGCTGCGGCAGCGCAAAGCCTGTCGGAGGCCCGCGGGCAGTTCTCTGGGATCTGCGCTGGGCCCCCTCCCCTCCTGGCGCGCTCCACGCTCCAGGGCGGGGGGGCCCAGCGCCGATCCAGGAAGTCCGCGCGGACCTCCGAAAAAGCTTCTGCTCGCGCCGTTTTCTCTTCGCCTGCCTTCGTCAAGTCGCACTACCCCGAGCGCCACGGCGTCGCCTCGTTCGATGCCGCGGGGGTGGTCCTTCTCGTCAGGAGCCCGCTCTGCGCGCTGGACTCCCTCTTTCACATGAGCGACGCGCAAAAATGGGTTCGACTGCGCGGACATTCGCGTGTGAGTTGCCCGCCTGAGGTCGCGCGTGAGCGCTCTCGTTAGGCCAGTGTAGCCTTCCGCGCTGGCGGCCTGCGCCGGCCACCGCGTAAGGTCACTATGCCATCTCGCGAACGACCCGATTTGTTTCGTCGCTCACATGAGCGACGCAAAGAATGCGGGGTCGTCTGCGCCGACCTTAGCGCGTGAGCTGCCCGCGTGAGGTCACGCGTAAGCGCCCTCTTCTTCACTGTGGCGTGCCGCGCCGGCGGCCCGCGCAAGCCGCGGCGTAAGGTCGCTACGTTACCTCGCGCACGACCCGTTTTTGAATCGTCGCCCACGTGTACATGACCCGCAGCCACACGCGCACGCTGAGGGGGCTCCACAGGCGGGGCAGCCTGCGGCGGCTGTGGGCGCGCTTCCTCCCGCGCGAGGCGCGCGTGTGGCGGCTCTTCTACCGCCACTGGGCGGCCGAGGCCGCCGCCGGCGTTGAGACCCTGCTGGTCCGCTATGAGGACCTGGTGCGGGACGCCGGTGGCACTCTGCGCCGTGTGCTGGCTTTTGCCGAGGGTCTGCTCGGCCGCCGAGCCCTCTACGGTGCCGTCGACTCGCGCGTGGGCGACGCCGGCGGCTCCGTGGGGCCCCCCGCGGTCGTGCTCGAGCGGCTTGAGTGGGTGCTCCGGCTGTCGGGGGGCTCCAGCTGTGGTTGCACTGGCCGCTGATCCTGGCCGGGCCGGTCTCGTAGGTGTCGGATCCATCTGGAGATCGGTGCACGTGATCGAAGGAGGAACAAATGCATAAACGTACACTTTCGGAGGTCCGCGCAAATTTCTGGGATCGGCGCTGGACACCCCCTGGCGGCGCCTCTGGCGCCGCCAGGAGCTGCAGCTGCAGCTGCTGCTTCTTCTTCTTTTTCTTCTTCTTCTTCTTCTTCTTCTTGTTCTTCTTCTACATGAGTTCCCAGCCTGAAACAGACCCAGACCCCCGATGCCGTGAATTTTTCATGACGTCGACCCCCAGCGGTCTGGACCTATTCCCCGGGACCGGTTCTTCGTCCTGAGCTGTTCTTTGACGGCCCCGAGGGCCGGTATAAGGACCCCCCCGAGGCCAAAACTTGTGGAAAACCCCCCGTCGTGATTTCTTCATGACTCGAGGGGGGGTCTGGGCATCGTCCCTGGACTGAACGCCTGCGCCGACCCCGGCTTGCCGCGCGACGGGACCGGCCAGGCACCAGCGCTCCGGGCGCACAGCCGGCCTCCCCCGCCCCGCAGGCTGGGCGGCGTGCGCGCCGTCGGCGCGTACCCGCCGCGGGCGGCCGCGCTGGCGGCGCCCGCCGGGCGCGGCGCGCGCGCCGGGCGCCGCGCGGCGACGGGCGGCGCGCGCGGCGGGCGGCGCGCGGGAGCTGCGCCGCCTCGGCTACGGGCCGGACGGCGGCGCGCTGCCCGCGCCCCCGCCGCCCTGGCCCCGGCCGGCCCGCGCGGAGGGCGCGCCGGGGGCCGCGAGGCTGAACGCCGGGGAGGACTTCGTCGTCGTCGTCGTCGTCGTCGTCGTCGTCGTCGTCGTCGGCGGCGGCGGCGGCGGCGGCGGCGGCGCCGTTGTCGCCGTCGTCGCCGTCGTCGGTCGATCGATGGATCGATCGGTCAGTCGATGCTCGAGGATCGATCGGTCGAGGCTCGAGGCTCGAGTTTTCAGGGCCTCTGCGGGCCCCGTGCGGGGCCGGGGCGCCTTCGACCTTCTCTCTCTCTCTCGTTTTCTTCCTCATCTCTCTCTTTATAATTTTTTTTTGTTCTCTCTCTCTCTCCCTCTCTTTCTCTCTCCCTCTCTTTCTCTGTCTCTTCTCTTCGCTCCCCCAGGGTCACGTTGCATGGTTGTGTATCTAAGGTTGCACGGCATTTGCGCCAGTGGAGAAGCACGGATCATTCCCATGTCGACGTCGAGCGTTGGGCCTCGTCTTCCTCCCTTAGCCCCCCCTTCCTCCTCTTCCTCCTCCTCCTCCTCCTCTTCCTCCGCCACCACCTTCTTTGCCGAACCCAGGACGGCCTGGTCCGTCCCCGGGTCCGCGGCGCCGCGCGCTTCGGCGACGGCGGGTTCGCCGCGTTGCGCGCGCGCGCCCTGCGGGCGCGTGCGCGCGCGCGCCTGCGGCGCGCGCTCTCGCGCGCTCGATGTGCGCTGCGCGTGCTCGGGGTTGGAGCAGGCGCGAGGACGGACGAAGGGGAGACGTGCGGAGGTAGGACATAATGCGAGGAGTGTGAGAAGGCAGCAGCAGAGGCCCGGTCAAACCAAACGGTTGGCCCGTGAACGGGCGGGGCACGATTGAAAGCAGTGCGACCTGCATGCATGATGTGAAGGACGCGCACGACGAGTGAGCAAGCTTTGTGCCACTGTTAAGAAGGGGGGGGAGGGAAGGGGGAAGGGGGGCGAGAGAGGGGAGAGGAGGGAGAAACATTGCCTGTCCTCACGTCTGCAAGCAGTACTCAACGAACGCGTCCTCGTCCTCTTCTGAAATGCTCGTAGTCCAGTGGGATGGTGCGTTAAGGATGTCATGCGCGAAAGATGCCAGCCGGTCGTCCCATCTTGTTGGTGGACGGCCCCGTGCCCTCGAGGCTCCATGCGTGCTCGCCGGTCTCCATCCGATAATCGCATGAACCCAATCAGATACAGAAGCGATTGACTTTAAGGCAAGTTTAAACAAACGGCGACAGAACAGAGCGCTCCATCTGTCAACTGGGAAATGCACCAGGGCGTCGTCGACTCTGTCCCTCATGCGTCGCATGGTGTCGGCCCACTCTTCTCCGTCGACCCTTCTCCATCCAACAATCAAGCGAAGCATTTTGTTTTGAATGGCGTCCAGAGAATCCAGTTGTTGCTTTGTCAGAGGCAGACATGCCAGCCCAAAGAAAAGAGTCGGCGTAACCATCGACTGAAATAATTTGAGCCTCAAGCAAATTGATACATGTTGGTCTGTGAGCGCATGACGATGTTCTTGGAACTGCTGCCAAGCTCGTCGAAACCGTTGTCGTAGTTCCGTTGTGGTGCGGTCCTTCAAATTCGCCGGCAGCGTCTTCCCCAAGTACTTGTGCGTATCCATGCTGTTCATGACCTTGAGCATGTTGTTTTCGACCTCGATGAACATGGCCCCAGCCGTCTCCTCTGTGGTGAGAATCTTCGTCTTGTCTGGCTTCAAGTGCAAGCCAACGGCTGCCAACTCTTCCATCAAGACTTCCAGCATGTTCTCCAACTCGTCCGCCGACTGTGCGTACAACATTATGTCATCTGCGTATCGGACATTTGTGAGCAGCTTCCCATTCCCAAGAGGGACACCAGCATGCCCTACCCGTTGTTTCCATTTTGCGATCACCATTTCCAGTCCAGCATTGAACAACATTGGGCTGATGACGTCTCCCTGTTTGACTCCGCGTTGTATTGGGAATGGCTGTGCTCCGGCCACGTAACCCGTCTGGCTGGAATACAACGACGCCAACAAAGCGACGTGGTCTGCATCCACACCTTGGCCACGCAGAGCTCGGAACAGGGAAACATATTCGATCCGGTCGAAGGCTTTGCGTAGGTCGAGACTTGCGCACCAGAGTGGCACGCCCCACTCGAAGCATTTGCTGCAAGCAACTTCAAAAACCAAGAAGGCGTCTTCCACCGAGTGTTTTTTCCTGAAGCCAACTTGGTCGGGCCCCTGTGCACTCTTTCCAAGACGTCCCGCAGCCGGTGGTAGAGCATCCGAGAAAATACCTTATAGGTCATCTTGAGGACAGCGATCGGCCTCCAATTCTTTGGCTGCGACAGGTCCCCGGTCTTGGGCAGCATGGTAAACAGAGTATTTTTCCATGAATCCTCCAGAAGCCCAGTGCGCACCATGTCGTTATACATGAGCAGCAGGTAATCCAGGAAAGAGTCGGAAGCATGCTTGAACATCTCTGCGACGATGCCGTCGGTGTCGGCGCCTCTCCTGTTGTTCAACACCTTGATCGCTCTGCCAAGCTCCTCCTTTGTAAAATCAGGAACATTAAAGGGCCCTCGATGGTCCGATAATTCCGCTGGCATTTCTTCTGAAGAAGATGGGATGTGAGAGTGTGAGAAGGCATGGGGGGGGATATGGGAGGGATGGATGCGGAGGGCGAGGAGAGCGGGGCGGAGCGTGGAGGATGGAGCGGGCGGGCCGCAAAAAGATGATGGGGAAACGGAGCATTGACGAGGAGGAAAAAGAGCAGGAGGAGAAGGGGGAAAAGGGAACGGGTAGGATCAAGGATGATGATGATGATGACGGTGGTGCTGATGATGATAGCTATGGTGGTTATGATGATCATGCGGATGTTGCTGATGGTGGTGATGCTGATGCTGAGGATGCTGGTAAGGACTATGATGGTGATCCTGCTGCTGCTGATGACGATGCTGATGATGCCGATGGTGTTGCAGATGGTGATGATGAAGGTGGTGATGAAGGTGATGATGATGGTTGTGAAGGTGATCATGATGACGATGGTGATGGTGATTTTGATTATGACGAAGAGGACAAGGATGATGACAAGATCAATCCGAATATGTATCATTGATATGATCTCAGTATGCACCAACATTGTACACCCAGCATCTAAGAGTTGATATGAAGACCAGAGGCAACCCAATACGCCCTTGCATCCCAAGTTCTACAGGATTTGCCAACAGGTTCTTATTTTCACTACGGTCGCGCTCTCTTTCAAGACGAGCACCGAATGGACTTGCCATTCAGGCGAGAGTCTCGTCTTGAAAAGAACCTGTCTCGTGCATCTTTTCAGCGAACTATATGGAGCACGAGAAGGTTGAACCATTGAGCTCAACGGGGTGTCCAGCGAGAGCCCTGTTCTGACAGTGGACCGCCCCCTCTGTGTAACTTCTGGGCAGGCAGTGGGATTTTTGTGGAAGACATAAAGAAGTTCCAGTCGTTGAGTTGGCGAAGTCGTTTGCAAAAAGGATTCGCCCTCAGTCCGCGCATCCGCTGCATACGTTCGAGCTGCTGGTGATTGGGTTGAGGCGCCCCCGAGCGCGAGCCCCCTTCTGATAAGGAACCGCCCTGCATCTCAGGGGACAGACCAATTTCGAGGAGGATGTGCATCAGCGACAGGAGGCTGGTGCGCAGAAAGGGGAGGAGCAGGAGTGGATGGGAGAAAGGTGGGGAAGACGCATGCTACTGGTGCCCCCGTCCTCGTCCTTCTCTCAGGCGATCGCAAATGTGGATTAAGGGGGCGTGGATTAGCGACGGGTCCCGTTTCCTTCGGGCATCGCTGATTCTCGCCGCCGAGCGAGGCGGCACCGGCCGCATTTTGGGGAGGGCACCTCCCCCGATCCATGGATTGGCGACCGCGCGCCAGATCCACGGATCGCTAATCCATGTCTGCGCGCCCCCGACGCTGCTGCCCTCGTCCCCGTCCACCTCCACGTTCTCCCCTCCCCTCGTCGGCGGCGCGCCCGGGGGAGGACGCGAGACCGGGCGGGGCCTCCTAGAGGGCCCAGGAGGCCTCTGGCCTCCAGAGAGGTCTCCTGCACCTTACGGAGCACTTCTCAGGAGGCCGGACGGTTTCTGAGATACCCCGCCGCCTTCTGAGAGGGCCTTCGCTCTCTCCCTTCCCCCTTGGGCGCGCCGCCGATTTTGCTCCTCCCCGTCCTCCTGCCCCTCTTGCTCCTCCCCTCCGCTACCGCCTCCGCCCGATCCCCCCCTCCGTCTCCGCCACTGCCTCACCTCCAGTACCTCGGCCACCTCGCCCCCCCCCTCCCGCCGTGGCCTCGTCGCCCTCGCTTCGTCGTCGTCGTTGTCGTGGTCCTCCTCCCGTTGTCGTCGTCGTCGTCGTCCTCGTCGTCGTCGTCGACGTCGTCGTCGGAACGACGGTTGGTCCCGTCGTTCCGACCCCACGGGCGCGCGCGATAGCCACGTCCTCAGATCCTTTTCCGTCGATTTTCCCTCTTACTCAGGTGGCAAGAACAGAGTGCCTGAACGCTAGCTTCCAGAGTACCGTCAGGGACTTCAGAGACCGCCTCGGGGAGCGCCCAACTCAACTCCTCCTCCTCCTGCTCCTCCTCTTTCCTCTCATTCTCTTCTTTTGCCCACCCGCACATTGGTAGTGGAAAGGGGGCACGAGTACACATAACCAGTAGAGGGCACCCGAGCAGGAAATGATGAACACGGTCAAGGACCTCAGCGCTCAGGCGCGACGCCCCCTCGCTCTTGGCGCTGCCGGTCGATCGGCGGCGCCGTGGATTTGGAGAGGGATGATGAGGAGGAGGCGGAGCAGGAGGAGGATGATGAGGAGGAGGAGGAGCAGGAAGAGAAGGCACCGAGCGATGACACGCGAGTCCGAGCCAACGGAGCCGCACCACCGTGGCGGCAGTGAAACAGCGCGGTGTGTATAGAGAGCAGATGACACGCAGGCATTGCTCGTACACGCATGCGACATACCACCGCGCTCATCAGACCGACAAGGCGAGGCGAGGGTGGCAGCCGTCACGTGCGCATCACTCTGGCTCGAGGACCTTGCCAGAGCGGGGATGCAGACCGCGGAGCACCAGCGAAGCATTGGACTCTCCATCTGCCCGAGTGGACGCACTGCCCGAAGGCTTTCGGCGCCCTTTGTCCGTGAGCTTCGGGTTCCTGCCACCTCGAACCGAGAACGCTCCACAAACAAGATCTGATGGTGGGCCCATGCCGTTCGGTCTGGTGTCCGTAGCTCCTGCACGCCTCCGTCACCCCGTCGTCCGTGGCAGCAGCAGCAGCAGCCTGCGCCTCCTCCTCCTCCTCCTCCTCCTCCTCCTCCTCAAGGGGGGCGCGCGCCTGCGGCAGCACACGCGTCTGGCACTCGCCCAGATGGGCGCAGCACATGAAGTAGTGAGAGGTGAGGGACAAGCGTGGGGCGGGCTCGGGCCTCGGTATCCGTGAGGTTTTTTGGACATGGCCTGCACCATCCTCGCGAAGATCCCTCCCTCTCTTTCAGCCTCGGCCACCTTGGCCTTGTGGTGGTCTGCCAAATCCTAAGCATCCATCCGCATGTCTTCGGGACCCGAGTGTGACAAACTAGTCGGCCCACTCGTTGCCTAAAAGACGACAACAGTACCAGCGTCCTCACAGAGAAGCTGCTCGAAATAACGATGGGCACAGGTCCGCTGGAAGTCGAGACTTGGCGAGGTGCTCGGGCACTATTAGAGCAGTGTGGACGGCAACCTCGATGACCTTCCAGGCCGCGATATGTCCAGGCCTGGGAACAGGCTGCACCTTCCTTGGGAGGAGGAGGAGGAGAAGGAGGAGGATGAGGAGGGCGAGGAGGAGGGAGGATGAGGACGATGCTGATGATGATGCTGATGATGATGCTGATGATGCTGATGGTGATGATGCTGAGGATGCTGATTATGGTGATGATGCTGACAGGGATGAAGATGCTGATGAGGATGAGGAGGGAGTATGCTGCTGATGGTCATGCTGGTGCTGATGCTGATGATGATGCTGCTGATGCCGCTGATGATGCTGCTGATGATGATGATGCTGATGCTGATGCTGATGATGGTACTGCTGCTACTGATGATGATGATGACGCTGCTGAGGATATGGCTGATGATGATGTTGATGCTGATTATGCTGGTGATGATTCTGATTATGATGATGACGATTGTGATGCTGATGATGCTTATTATAAGGATACTGCTGATGCTGATGATGCTGGTGATGCTGATGCTGCTGATGATGATGCTGATGCTTATGACGGTGATGCTGCTGCTGATGATGATGGTGATGCTGATGGTGATGCTGATGCTGATGGTGATGACGATGCTGATGGTGATGCTGGTGATGATGAGGACGATGAGGATTATGATACTGATTCTGATGATGCTGCTGCTGATGGTAATGCTGCTGATGCTAATGATGACGATGATGACGATGATGACGATGATGACGATGCCGACGATGATGACGCTGACGATGATGATTATTATGATGATGTCGATGCTAACGCTGATGATGATGTTGATGATGGTGATGATGATGATGATGCTGATGCTGATGCTGATGCTTATGCTGATGCCGATGATGATGAATCTGATTATGATGATGCTGATGATGACGACGATGCTGCTGTTGCTGATGATGATGGTGATGATGCTGATGATGGTGATGATGATGATGCTGAGGATGATGATGAACATGATGATGCTGATGATGATGATGATGCGGATGCTAATGCTGCTGCTGATGCTGAGACTGCTGATGATGATGATGATCATCATGATGATGCTGCTGCAGATGATGCTGCTGATGATGATGATGATGATGATGGTGGTGGTGGTGATGATGATGATGATGATGATGATGATGAGTATGATGATGATGCTGCTGCTGCTGATGATGATGATGATGATGATGATGATGATGATGATGATGCTGATGATGATGATGATGATGATGATGATGATGATGATGCTGATGCTGATGATGATGATGATGCTGAGGATGGATGCGGATGATGATGATGATGATGATGATGATGATGATGATGAATGATGATGATGAATGTGATGATGATGATGATGATGATGATGATGATGATGATGTGATGATGATGATGATGATGCTGATGATGATGATGATGATGATGATGATGATGATGATGATGATGACTGATGATGATGATGATGATGATGATGATGATGATGATGATGATGATGATATGATGATGATGATGATGATGATGATGATGATGATGATGATGATGATGATGATGATGATGATGATGATGATGATGATGATGATGATGATGATGATGATGATGATGATGATGATGATGATGATGATGATGAGGAGGAGGAGGAGGAGGAGGAGGAGGAGGAGGAGGAGGAGTTGGAGGAGGAGTAGGAGGAGGAGGAGGAGGAGGAGGATGGGTGACGAGGAAGAGGAGGAGGAGGGGGAGCAGGGGGGCAGTGAGAGGACCACGAACAGGATAGTGCAGATGTGCCGCTCTGCTCCCTCGCTCTCGCCCTCCCCCTTCTCGTTCTGGAGCCCCCTCCCGCTGAGCCCGCCGCCCCACTCTCCGTCTTCTTTCTTGCCCCCCCCCCCGTTCTCGGCCCGTGCAGTCTGCCCTCCCTCCATCCTCCCTCCTCCCTCCGCCCCCCCCCCTCTCCCTTCCCTCGTCCCTCCTGCGCCGGCTTCTGAGGCATGCTCACGGCTTCTCCACGCGTCCATCTCCTCCCTCCAGCGCTCTACTCCCCTGCATCGTCCACCCTCCGCTTCTCGTCTCCCGCCCTTCATCCTCCATCGCCCCTTCTCCCCCCAGCTGGCTCCTGGCTCCAGTTGTCTCCCCATCGAGAGCATTTGCAAGCAGACGGATGACACGCATCAACGACAGCGCACCCCTTTCGCACTCCCTCCTCCTTCCCCTGCTATTCCTGCTCCCCCTCCCTCCTTCTCCTCCTCTTCTGTTCTTCCTCCTCCTCATCATCATCCTAGTTCCCGCCGCCCCCCTTCCCCTTCCCGTTCCCTGTGCTTTCGAGGATACAGGTTTTGAAGCTGTTTTTGCGGGGCACATTTTGACGCGAGCGGGGAGTTCATCCTCGTTTTGGTCATCGTCGTCGTCGGTGTCGTCTTCCTCCTCCTCCTCCTCCTCCTCATCCTTTTCATCCGTGCCCTCCCTGCCCTCCTGCTCATCAGGCTTCTCGCGCTCCCCTTGCTCGCCACCCCTCCCATTCCCGATCTGACTCCCGCCCTCTCCGCCCCCTCCCTTGCAGGACCCTGTTGCAGGGGCTTGGCTCGATGCAGCGACCTTATCTCTCTCGATGAGTGGTGTCCGCTGCAGTACCAAACGAGAATGTCTGGGAGCACGCGTTCTTGAATGCTGTGGGCATCGCATCGTCGCATGCCAGCGCGAAAGGCAGGTTTGGTGAGGACGTCTGGCCAGTATTTCGGGGCAGAAGTTGCATAGGTCCCGGGCTCTCGATTGCAAGTGCAGTTCGTGGCAAGACAGACATGCAATGTCCACACAGGTTGTTCTTGCTCTCCCTACCTCCCTCCTCCCTTCGTCCACCATCTTCTTTTCGTCTTCCACCTCGTGCGTCCTCTCTCCCTCCCCTTATCGCTCCTCCTGCCCCTCCTCGCTCCCGCATCCCTTATTCTCCTCCACATTGTCTTTGTTCCTACCTCCCTTTCCTTCCTGATCCTCCCACCTCCTCCCCCCTCCTCATTCCATCCTTTTCTCTTCGTTCCCCTTCCCTCCCTCCCTCTTGCCTATTTTCGCTCTAGCATCTTGCGTCCCTGTTTCTCCTTCTCCTGCTCCTCCTCCCGTCTCATCCCTCCTCCTCCTCCCGCCTCCTCCTCATCCTCCCCGCTCCTCCTCCTCCTCCTCCTCCTCCTCCTCCTCCTCCTCCTCCTCCCATGTAGTCGTCCTCCTCCTCCTCCTCCTTCTCCGCCATCCTCTTCCCTCCTGGGACTTTTCGCTGCTGCCTCCCACGTCCCTCTTATCACTTGCCCTGTTCCCTCCCTCCTCGTTCCTCCTCCTCTCTCCTCTCCTCCTCCCCCCCGCCCCCTGCCCCCTGCCCTCTGCCTCCTCACTCCTTCCCCAGCCGTGCGACGCTCGCGACCGCAGCCGTTGCAGCCCGCAACCGCCACGCTACCCCTCGCTGGTCCCTGCCGCCCCGGGCCCGCGCTTGCCACCCCGAGGGCCAGCAATGGCGTCTGGCGCGCCGCCCCTCGCGGAGGAGGAGGAGGAGGAGGAGGAGGAGGAGGAGGAGGAGGAGGAGGAGGAGGAGGAGGAGAAGGAGAAGGAGGGGGAGGAAGCGGGAGGGGGAGGCACGCAAGGAAGAGAGGAGGCGTGCGGTGGATGTGGAGGAGGAGATGGAGATGGAGATGGAGATGGAGATGGAGATGATAATGATGATGATGATGATGATGATGATGATGATGATGATGATGATGATGATGATGATGATGATGATGATGATGATGATGATGATGATGTTGATGACGATGATGATGATGATGATGCTGATGATGATGATGATGATGATGATGACGATGATGCTGATGATGATGATGCTGATGCTGATGCTGATGCTGATGCTGATGCTGATGATGATGATGATGCTGATGCTGATGCTGATGCTGGTTCTGATGCTGATGCTGATGCTGATGCTGATGATGCCGATGATGATGATGCTGCTGATGATGATGATGATGAGGATGCTGATGATGATGACGATGGTGGACGATGATATTGGTGATGCTGATGCTGATGTTGACGATGCTGATGATGCTGATGATGCTGATGATGCTGATGACGATGATGATGAGGATGGTGGTGGTTGTGATGATGATGGTGATGATGCTGATGATGATGCTGATGCTGACGACGATGATAATCATAATGCTCCTGCTGATGGTGTTGATGCTGGTGATGCTGATGATGCAGATGTTGATGTTGCTGCTGCTGCTGATGATGATGCTGATGATGCAAATGATAAGCTGATGCTGATGCTGATGGTGCTGATGATGATGATGCTGATGCTGATTGTGGTGACGATGACGATGATCATGAGGATGATGATACTGTTACTGTGCATGCTTCTGATCGTGCTGGTGATGATGGTGACGATCATGTTGTTGCTGCAGATGATGATGCTGATGATAATGATAGTACTGCTATAATAGCGATGATGATAATCAGGATGAGGATGCTGATGCTGCTGATGATGCCGATGCTGATGCTGATGCTGATGCTGATGCTGATGCTGATGATGATGCCGATGCTTGTGATGGTGATTCTGATTCTGATGATGATGATTATGATGCTGCTGGTGATGACGATGCTGATGATGATTATGATGCTGCTGATGATGATGACGATTATCATGGCGATGTGGCTGATTAAAATTGTGAAGGTGATGCTGGTGATGATGTTAGTGATGGTGATGGTTATGGTGATGGTGCTGGCGATGGTGTTTTTGATGATGATGCTGATGATGCTGTTGTTGATGATGATGATGGTGATGATGATGATGATGATGCTGATGCTTACGCTGATACTGATTTTGCTGATGATGATGGTGATGATGCTGATGCTGATGATGATGCTGCTGCTGATGATGATGATGATGTTGATGATGGTGGTGGTGGTGGTGGTGATGTTGCAGATGATGATGGTGGTGGTGATACTGCGCCCAGCCCCACTGAGAGGCAGTAGCCAAACAAGCAGCCAAACGTACCCTCCAGACGTCGTCGTTTTCGCCGTCGTCTCCATCAACGCCGTCAGCCGCCATCTTCGTCGTCGTTGGCGTCGTGGTCGTCGCCGTTATCGTCGCCGCCGCCGCCGTCGTAACGCAGCGTCGTCCTCGTCGTCGTCGTTGTCGTTGTCGTCGTCGTTCTCGTTGTCGATGCTGGCCTCCTCGGCTGGCGAGGATGGGGCCAAGCTCACATTGTGCCGATGGGCGAGCTCGACATGGCGAAGTACTGCAAGCTCGATGAGGTCAAGGAAAGCACCGGCGCCTCAACCCCCTCCACGCTGCCCCTCTCTGCCTGCGCCTTCCCCCCTCGGGGCCCATTTTGGTTGGGCCTGGCCCGATTCGATTTCGAGTTCGTTTTGTCAGCGATCCGATGCGTCGAATCGGGCTGCATCGGTGCGGGGTCGGGATCAGATTGGATCGTCCACGCCACCCGTTCCTGCCTTCCCGCATTCCTTGCGACTCGGCTGTTTCAAATCGGGTATCTCGCTGAGATGGCAGGCTCTTGGGGTGCTCGTTTTTCAAGGGGGGAGCTTCTTCCATTGACTCGTGGCATTGTTCATTTATCATGCGTTTAACTCTGTTCTTCCTCTGTCTTACGTCTTCCTCCTACCACAGCCGCCGTTGCCGTCGTCGTTGGTGGCTGCTTGTTTGTCCCTTCTCCTGGGCCTCGTGCCCCTGCGAGGGCGCACCTAGATCCTAGAATCCCTCCTCCTCATCATCATCATCATCACCATAACCATCACCATCACCATCACCATCACCATCATCACCATCATCATCACCATCATCTTCAGCATCAGCATCATCACCATCACCATCACCATCACCATCACCATCACCATCACCATCACCATCACCATCACCGTCATCATCATCATCATCATCATCATCATCATCATCATCATCATCATCACCGTCACCATCACCATCATCATCATCATCATCATCATCATCATCATCATCATCATTTAATCATCATGATCCTCCTCACCATCATCATCCTCCTCCTCATCATCATCATCACCATCATCATCACCATCCTCTCTCTTCCCTCCCGCCAGGAGAGCCTTGAGCGCAAGTGCAAGATCGTCTGCACGATGGGCCCGAACCAGTCCACTCCCGAGGCCGCGGCGGGGGCGGCGGGCGGCGCCTTGAAGTCTTCGAAGCTCTTCGGAGTTTGGCATCGCTCGGACGTGTGAATCTGTTCTTGGCGAGTGCCGTCGAGGAGCACCCTGGGTCATCTTGCGAAACATCAGCGCACGACTCCGAACGTTGCACGGGGAATGGAAGTCCGGGCGATGGCAAGGGAGGCTTTTCGAAGCTTTTCGGAGGTCTTCCGCGGTGTTCGGAGGTCTTGGTCTTGGGCAGGGCTCGAAGGGTTCTTGAGGTTCTCGGCGGTTTGGGTGGCCCTCGGAGGCCCTCGGGGGTCTTCGGAGGTCTCCAGAGGTGTTCGGCGGCTCTCTGATGTCCTCGAGGGTTTTGAGTCTCGAGGTCCGGGCAGAGGTCTGGGGACCGATTCGTGAGCCGAAGGAGAAAAAGTGCACAATTCGGTG